ATTACGAGCGGCGCGTACTTACGGTTAGCAAGGGGGTATTACGAGGCTCTGTAACCGCGGACAGCGGATTGAGCAGGAGCAGAGCGAAGAAAGTGACGACGCTCCGGGAGCGGGCCAGTCCCGTGCACAAAGCGATTCCTCCTCGGCTCCGCGAAAGTCCTCGAAAATTCTCCGGTTTCCCGTGAAGCCGCGGCTAGGACCGGGTACGAGTCGCGACTAATTACCGTCGACGAACACCAGACCGTTCCCCATTGAAAGTAGAACCGGTATTGTCGCGACACCCGCGAACCTGGGGGGGAGGGGGGAGCCGCTTTTATTCGGCGACTCGCGATTCGGATGAACGCCGAAATGGCTGTTCGCGAGACACGGTCGTTCGCGATTTATCAGTGGAAAAGGAGGAGGGGCGGCGAGGAGGAGGAATGGGCGCGCGAAACGAATTGTCCTGCGAGGCGCAGGATGCGTTTACGAGGGAAGATCCTTTCAGAACGGTCCGCGTACCGGGAATACCGTTCTGCGCCGGAATAGCTGGCGCGCGCGCGGTTAACGCAAGAAATTATGAGGGATTCCAATTATGAGCGTCGCCAACAGGAAGGAAGGAACGTTGCCCAGAGAGAGAGAGAGAAAGAGAGAGGCGAGATTGCCTCGGCGAGACCTGGCTACGCAACGCGACGCGAACGACGATCGTTCGATAAATTCGTCACAGGGACACAGTTTCCGGTCCAAACACGACTTTACGAGGACCAATTGATCGGAGCGCTAGCGCGCGCGACCACCGGAAATGCGAGCTTTCGTTTTTATTGTCGGGACATCTGTGCATTCGTACGGCGTCTTTAACGTCGACCCAATAAGCTTCGCGAGGTCATAATGCGGTACATCATCGACAGCGCGTCGACTTCATCTTTATATTCCTGTCCGGACATTTTTCTGGATCTGCTCGAACTGCACCAGTTGCCAGTGGAACGCAGATTTTACGTTGGTACGACGAAAGTGAATAGATCGAATATGCAAAATGATAGACGTTTGAGAAAATTCAATTGTATTGCTTAATCGAATCGTTAACATTGTTGTCATTATAATTATTGTGCCGGTTAAAATGATCGGCTTTTATTTTATATATGATTTTGTTTTGGAACTGTTTTAAAGACGTTCTCATAGGAAATGATCGAATAGATTTCTGAAATCGAGCGCAGATTGTAACAAAAATGGCGAAAGATCTAAGTCGATTCAGTCTCGTTATTTTTTTTATAGGGAAAACTGTGTTTTATGTTAGTTTACAAAAGTGACAATAAGACGTTTATTCTGATTTTTAGCAAGTGTTATTGTAACATTTCCACTCCAACAATGACTCTGAGTCACCGCTAAAATCGTAACATTACGTTCCAAGATAATTTTTATCTTAACGAAGTTTAGATTTTAAAAAATTGTTAAAAGTGTAACTCTTAATGCTAAAATGCACTTTGCCGTATAGAATGGAAATGCTATAAGTCAGAAAGGTTACTTTACATTTACAATTAAAATGGCACCGAGTGCAAAGGGTTAAGGGTGGGATGAGAATAGAAGAAATTTTGATTATCCAGAAGCAGCCTGTTCCTGCTTGATCGCTTTAAATCTGTCCACAGTTTAACACTTTATTTACCGGAAGTCTATTAATAGCCTGTTAATAGCCTAAACGACCGAACTATGTCCAAGAGAATCTCGATAATTTCCTCTTAAACGCTAACTTCGAAAGATCTTGTCGCGTTATATTAATCGAAATAATTTGATAGATTATGGATGATATTATTGTAGAGAAGCAACAACAAGCTATCAAATTATTTCGATCTTTTTTCTCCCTTTTCATCAATTTTCCATGAAATTCTTAACAGCCGGTCTCCGGTTTTCAGGGAACAATTACAAAACCATCGGGTAGATGAAGCGTGAACACTTTGCACCCGAGCGGTAACTCTGAAGCACCATTAAAAAGTTCTATCACGTTCCAAAATAATTTGTACATCGTCGAATTCGTTCGTATCCGAAAGATTGTTGAAGCTGTCGCACGACCGACAAGACACGATTTCCTAAAAATGGGAACACCGCGAGAGAAACTGTTCTTTAAAATTCAGGATCGAGAAAGGCTTCGGGCGCGAAGGGTGAAAAACAAGTTTCACCTTTATATGTTCCCTACGTCTCCACCTATAAAAAAGATATTGACATCGAATAATATTCCCCTTGAAATTAAACAATTTTTGCCTTACATTCTTTCTTCTATTGTCGAAAACGAGCGAGTTATTCAGGTGTTTCTTTTCAAATGCCACCCTCCTCCCCCACCCTGT